TCCACCTTAAGAAGAAAGCACACGCTGACCTGCTACTGCACGGTGAGCATTGAGGACATGGTGCTGAGCTGAATAAACAAGCCACAAAAAGACAAATACTGTGTGACCCCACTTACATAAGGTCCCCAGAGGAGTCAAGGTTCATAGAGACAGAAAATGGGATGCGTGGGTGCCAGGGGCTGGGGGAGGGGAACGTGAAGTTAGTGTTTAATGGGGACAGAGTTTCCGTTTGGGAAGATGAAAAAGTTCTGGAAACGGATAGAGCTAACGGTGGGACAGCAGCGTAAATGTGCTAAATGCCATGAGGTCGGACACTTGAACGTGGCTAATTTTATCTGAATTTCACTTCAACTTAAAAAACAACAACAAACATAGGTGGCTGGCCAGATGTGGTCCATGGACCATCGTTTGCCCACTCCTTGACCGAATAATTCTTCTTCAACTCCCTCCCCCCTCACTGATCCCATCCTTAGGCAAACTCTAGCACCACCCTCATGCTCACTCCACCCTCCACTCACACCGGACCTTCACCCTCTCCTCGCCCTCTCCTCGCCCTCTCATCCCCTTCATCTACCCTAATCTCTCCCCCGTTTATTCATCGCGTCACCTGCCAACATAGCAGGATCACCCAGGCAACGTCTACGAGATGTACATTCGGTTTCCTGGAGGGTTGAACTCAATGATGTGGTTCATGATCTCTGTGAGATTACATTTCATTACATAACTTATTACATTGCATGTAATTACTCTGCTCCTAATCCTGCACCTACACATAATAGTTTCTCTCACTATGCCTCCTGCAATTACACCATCATCCTCACCAGCCCATGCTGTACGGTAACTAACGAGAAGGCAGTTGTGGGTAGACAGCAGCACCTGCCCCACCCACCCCCTTTCCCGCAGAGGCTGCAAAGCTGCTGCCACGCTCTCAGACCCCCATGTTGCTGGGCACCTGTTGGGGTCCACCAGCCGGAGGCACCAGTGGGACTTCAGATGGAAGAAGGAACTGCTACCTTGGTTTTTCCTCCTCTTCGCTCTGTCGACAGCCAACGTTGGCAGGCTCTGAAAGCAGGCGTGCTGGTCGGTGTGGCTCAATGACTGAACATCAACCCACGAACCAGGTCACAGGTGGATTCCCTGGTCAAGGCATATGCCCGAGTTACGGGCTCGATCCCCAGCAGGGGGCGTGTGGGAGGCAGCCAATCGACGATTCTCATCACTGATGTTTCTATCTCTCTAAAAATAAAAAAATCAATAACAACATTTTTTAAACTGCCCTGGCCGGGGTTCTCAGTGGTTAGAATGTTGGCCCAGGCACCAAAGGGTTGCAGGTTCGATCCCTGGCCCTGGTTGGGGTGTGTGCAGGAGGCAACCAATCAATGTGTCTCTCTCATATCAATGTTTCTCTCTCCCCCCCTTCACTCTCTCTAAAAATCAATGGGAAAAATATCCTCTGATGATGAAAGAAAGAGAGAAAGAGAGGAAAGAGGGAGGGAGGGAGGGAAGGAGGGAGAGGTAGAAAGAGAGAGAGAAAGAGAGAGAAGAAAGAAAGAAGAAAGAAAGAAAGAAAGAAAGAAAGAAAGAAAGAAAGAAAGAAAGAAAGAAAGAAAGAAAGAAAGATAGTTGTGGATCCTATTTCTTAATCACAGGTATGGGGTCTGTGCCCGAAGTTGGAGGTTTCAAGGACCCCCTGACTTCCTGTCTTCTATGGCTGTGGAGGGACTCAGTTCCCTGGGTGAGCCAGTTCTGCAAAATCATTCCTACAGGACCAGCCGGGTCCTGCTCCTCTGCACCAGAATTTGGCAAACAATGGCCCCTGGGCCACATCTGGCTCACTGCCTGTTTGTATAAATGAGCCTGCAACTGAGGTACACGCTCTGGACCAGGAATCGAACCCGAGACCCTTTGGTGCAAAGCCCGACACCCCAATCAGTGAGCCCTGCCGGCCAGGGCTGCGGCTGTTACTGTAATGGCAAAAGGAACTTCGCACATGGGATTAAGTGAAGGATTTTGAGACGACAGGGAGATTATTCTGGATTATTTGAGTGGGTCCTAAATGTAGTCAATCCCAAGGGTCCTTACAAGAGGAACCAGAGAAGCCAGGTGAAGAAGTGGATGTGATGAGGGAGCAAGAGGTTCGCGTGGTGCCGGAAGGGCTCACAGGCCCAGGAAGCCGACAGTCTCAGAAGCCGGAAAAGGCAAGAACATGTTCTCCTCCTGGATCCTCCCAAGGAACCAGCCCCGCTGACACTTTGCAGCCAGTGCAACTGATTTCAGACTCCTGGCCTCCAGAACGACATGAGAATAAATGTGCGTTGTTTTATTACTTATTTTTTAAAAATCCTCACCTGAGGACATGCTTAGAGAGAGGAAGGGAGGGAGAGAGAAGGAGATCCATGTGAGAGGGAATCATCGATTGGCTGCCTTTCGAACACTCTGACTGCAACCCAGATAATCGAACCAGCACCCTTCGGCGCATAGGGCAACACTCAACCAACTGAGCCACTTCCGCGGGGCAATGTGTGTTAGGTCACTAAATCCGTGGAACTTTGTTATTGCAACCACAGCAAGCAAAGACAATGAGCTGATGGGCCAACTGAAGGCTTTTTCCATGAACATGAATCACTTTTCAATTCAAAGTTACATTAAAACTCTACACACACACACACACACACACACACACACACACACTATATCCTGGCCGGTGTGGCTTTGTTGGTTGGGCATTGTCCTGTGCACCAAAAGGTTACTGGTTCAATTCCCAGCCAGGCATATGCCCTGGTTGTGAGCTAATTGATGTTTCTCTCCCTCTCCCTTCACTCTCTCTCTAAAAAGCCATAGAAACATCTAAAACACTATCTATAGGAACCATTACAGAAGGAATGATCGGCTCTCCTGGAGGGTAAGAGAAAAGGAAAGATCTCAGTTAGATAATTGGATGCGAGGGTGGGGCGTTCAGAATGAAATTCAGATCCCCAGGCACTGCCCACAAGCTTCTAACCCCTTCGATCTGGAGGCAGAGCCTGAGAAGCTGGTTCAATCAGAGACATTTTGCAGCAAAAAACCCCACTGCGTGCCACAAAGACCCTCTAGGCTCATGTCCCCAAGAGGCCGATGGTATTGGGTGCAGAGTCTCAATCCTGGCGTCGGGGGCTTTGGGAGCCCCTCATTCTTGGTTCTGGGGCTGCTCTGTGCTCTGCAGGACGTTTAGCTGCACCTCTGGCTTCTGTCCGTCCACTGGACACCAATAGCGTGATCACCAGGAATGCTTCCGCCGTCAGCCAATGTCCCTGAGGGGCCGTATCCCTCCCAGTTGAGACCCACTGGATTAACATACGACCTGAAACATGTAACTGTAACCGGTGAGAAGTGATTCCAACGTCCCTAAGAGGGGACTGGTTACTAAACTCGGATCAGCCTCCCTGGATGAAGGCTGAGGCGTTGACAAGAACATAACTCCGCCGGCCGCTTCTGAAGCTCAGAGTGCAGTTTTGTTACCAACTTACCCAACTGAATCCAAACCCAGCAGCAGGGGTGTCACACGATGCTGTTCACTGCGCGCTGTGCTGTTTTCCAACCGGAATGGCCCACCCGCCACAGAATAGCTCATGCTACAACCAAAAAGAACCGGCAGTGCCGAAACCGGTTTGGCTCAGTGGATGGAGCGTCCGCCTGCGGACTGAAGGGTCCCAGGTTCGATTCCGGTCAAGGGCATGTGCCTGGGTTGCGGGCACATCCCCAGTGGGAGGTGTGCAGGAGGCAGCTGATTGATGTTTCTCTCTCATCGATGTTTCTAACTATATCTTTCCCTTCCTCTCTGTAAAAAAATCAATAAAATAATTAAAAAAAAAAAAAGAACCGGTAGAACAGCGGTAGATCAGGTCCACAATGTGTTAAACTTTAAAAGAAGATTGATCGCATGTATATGAAATAAAAATGTGTTGGATGGGGGAGAAGAAAGCAGGTTGGAGTAGAGTGTATGTAACATGATCCTCTTTTTTATTATTGTTTAAAATGTTTTTATTGATTTCAGAGAGAGAAAGGGAGAGGCAGAGACAGAAGCATTAATGAGAGAACCATCGATAGATCAGCTGCCTTCCACACGCCCCACACTGGGGATTGAGCGTGAAACCCGGGGCATGTGCCCTGACCAGGAATCGAACCGTGACCTCCTGGTTCATGCTCAACCACTGAGCCACACCAGCCCAGCACATGATCCTTTTTAAAAATGTGTATAGATATGCTCCAGGCAGGTGGATAAGGCTACGTTTTTTACCAAAATGTTCTCTGAGGACAACTTGGTTTTGCTTTTTTAGTTTGCTTAGTTGCACCCTAAGGTCTTACGGATCTTGAGAACCCTGAACTATTTGACACAGAAAATCCAAATCCCTGAGGTGGGACCACGGAGGCCTCTGCTCCAGGCCGTGTCCCCGAGACCCCCCAGGTGCCCAACTGCCTGCTGGTGCCTCCTGCAGCCACTTCCTCCCTGTCTCCTGTCCCACCACCACCGGGGCTTCCTGTGGGGACTTCCTGGACACCAAACCCCCATCTTAGTCCGTTTTCTGGGGGCTCCCAACCATGAAAGTCCCGCTCCACAGTCTGTCAACTGAAACAACCCTGCAGCTGACCCCACAGGATAGAGTGAGCTTGGCCATCTGTCTTTTAGGGCATGCTTCACGGGACAGGCTGGGCCACAGGGCTCTCCCTGCCCCCTCACCCACACTCACGCCCCCCTCAGCTTCTCTCCAGCACTGGTTGCATCCCACACCTTGGCCAGCAACAGGTGAGGGGACTGGGTGTGGCGTGTTGGCAGTGAGAACACCGCCCTGGCCTGGTGACTCGGTTGGAGCGTCTTCCCCGTCCCATACGCCGAAAAGGTTGTGGGTTCATTCCCAGTCAGGGCACATGTGGGAGGCAACCATCAATGTTTCCTGTTCTCTCTCTCCCTCAAAATCAATAAACGTATCCTCAGGTGAGGATTAAATAAAAAGAACACAGACTTACGTGAAAACCATCCAGGACTGTTTAATAAAAAAATAAGCAAGTTATCCAGGATCCGACCCAGCAAGCAGTGTCCATCCCGAAGAGGGAGCACCGCTGGCCGGCTCTGACATTCACTTCCGGCTGAAGGCGCAGCAAGCCCCCAGCCTGGGCCAGGAACATTCTGCCCAAGTGCAGGCAGCACCCCAGTGCCTCTGAGCCCCCCAAAGGCTTAGGCAGAGGAATCCCACTGAGCAGGCGGACACCACACCTGAGACGCAGGCCTGGGAAGTCAAGCAAACAGCACCAGGAGCAGGCGGGGAGACCCAGCCCCTTCCTCACCCCGCCCCCGCCAGGGGGGCTGGTGCAGGAACCTGCAAGCGGCCATGTGGTTACTGGGGCCAGCAGAAGCCCCTGGTGAGAGAAGTCACCCTCCCTCCGGGGTGGTGACCTGCACATAGCTCAGGTGGCTGGGGGATGAATAAGGACTCAAACTCAACCCTTCGCTAACCCCACTGGGCGTCCACAAGGTCTGGTACACAGTAGGCACTCAATAAATGCCTAAGGCATGAAATGAAAGGACTCTCTCTGTTCATCTCTGGGGCCCAGGACACATGTGGGAAATCAAATGTAGTGACTGAACAAGGGTTATACTGTTTTGTATCACGAATGTCTAGCGCACACAGTAGGTGCTCTTCAGGTGAGTGGGGAAGAAGCCAATTAGAGAGAGAAAAGCACCTTGTTCATCTCCACGCCTAGCACCCAGCTCAGCTTCTGGCGCACAGCAGACACTCAGTAACAGCACGGAGTTGATAAGAACTTTTGTGTCTCAAGTACCAGGCACATAGTAGGTGCCTGATGTGTGTCTGAATAAATGAAAGTGTCTTAATTATCTCAATATTCCCAGAGCCTGAAATGGTGCCCAACCGTCAGTAGGCACTCAATAAATACTTAAATTAATCTTTAAAAAATGAATGTGTATCACTAGTGCCTGATTCTTGGGGGGGCGTCAATAAATGCTTGATGCCTGAATCATCACTGAGGAAATTATTATGCCTCATTCACGGCCATCACCCACGAACCTGGTACATAGTCAATGCTTAAGAAATGTCAGGCACGTGGAGAGGAATGATGGCTTGTTCCCACCCAGTCTCCCAGTGCAAAACACTATGCCTGGCATACAGTAGGCACTCCATTAATGCTGCCTGTGTGTACAAGATTGCTGAGCAAGAGCTGGCTGGCCACCACCCTGCATGGAGAGCCCTCCCAGGCCTGCCAGGGTCCGCAGGGGCCCTGCTGTCCCGAGCAAGCACACGGAGGCTGCTGTGGCCGCTGCCCCTCAGAGCTCGTCCCGGGCAGCGCTGTCCAGCGGGGACTGTAGCACATCCGAGTTTTTGGCCTCTCGGCTTAGGGCCTGCTGCTCCCTCATCTTCTGGGACTTGGCGCGGTCCCAGTCGGTCTTGACGTGCTCGTTGTTCCACACAACCGAGGTCTCTGTGTCGCTCACGTACCCGTCGTCCCCCGTGTAGTGCGTGGGGAACACAAGCAGAGGCTCCACGGAGAAGGCGCGCAGGTTGCGAGGGGAGAAGTGGGTCTTATACTCGGACCTGGAAGGGCAGGGAGTAAGAGGCAGCAGTGGGTGGAGGGGCCGGGGCCGATGGAGGGAGAAGTGAAAGGGAACAGGCTGAGACAGAAGGGGGATGGGGTTCAAATGGAGCCAGAAGTGGAGGGGACACACAAAGGAAGTGGGCAGAGAAAACGGCACCTTCCTGCCCCGCCCCCAGATCCTCATGCCCCGCCCCCTCCAGGGCTGCCTACCCCGCCCCCTCCAGGACTGCCGCCTGCGACCACAGCCCACTGCCCGGGCACCCCTTCTCACACTGGGTGCTTGTCAAACATGACCGGCAGGAACTCGTCCACGGGCAGCATCTTGGAGAGCGGCTGGGCCGCCAGCAGCTTGCGGGCGCCTTGCAAGGAGATGACGTAGGCCAGTGTCCAGTAGGAGTAGTCGGCCTCCACCAGGTTCCTCACGCGGGGCACAGCCTTCTCGGGGTGCTCCACCTGCATCCGCTTCCGGCCCACATAGCTGGGGTGTGGAATTGAGGCCGTCACCTCCTCCCACCCACCAGAGCACGCTAACCCAGCAAGGCCGTGTCCGGCCCTGGGGAGGGAGCAGGCTGGGGTGTCTGGGGCATAACAAGGAGGCCAGTGTGGCTGGACTGGCAGAACCACAGGGGTCTGTGGCCCTCAAGGAGGAAGGGTGGGTTTTTCCCTAGGGCACTAGGGAGCCATGGAAGGATCTGGAGCTGGGGGCAATGGGATTTCTGGGACATTCTCTGAGGCTGTGCTACAAGGAGGAAAGGGGCTGAGAAGGAAGCTGCTCTGGGCTCAGAGGGCTGTGTGGCAGTGGAGGAAGGTGCAAGGATCTGTGAGCAGTCGGGAATGAAGGGGTGCAGTTACGG